TTCTTGTGGATGGGCGTGACGATCGTCTGTTTGAACAGCTTCGGAACCTCGCCGTCTTCATAAGCCTTGGTGAATATCAAGGATAGAGGCTCACAAAGGACATCAGCGAGCTCCTTGAAGAAGATGGGTGGCAGGAGGTCTGGGGTGACCGAGTGCTTGTTCTTCAGCGTGAGCATTTTCTCGTACACGACGTGAGGAGAGAAGTCGATGCAGGGGGGAATGGCGGGAGAAGGGGTACGGGCCCAGCCACCATGGGGAGGTGAGTAGACATCCTCGAAGGCCGCAGCAGAAGCCTCAGCCTTATCAAAGTCGTCGACAATAGTGCGATCGCCATCGATGAGCGGACCAATAGCGGCGGAGGATTTGAGACGACCATTAGCGTACCTATGTTTTCACCTCCCCATTCGCACCAAGACTGTGCCCCACGAGGAGGCTGCCGACTGGCCCTGCTCGCTAAGTGGGCAGAAATGCGAATACTACCATTGCTGGCTCAGCTGAAAAAAAGTTTGATTGGTCAAGTGTCTGATATCGCGATGTTTCTCTAGTCAAATACGCCGTGTTGGCGATAAATATTCTCAGAGAGGAAAAAGACACTGCTCGCGCGGACATTGAGACGAGAAGCGAAAGTTCCATTCCGAGTTTCTCGCAAGCTTTATGGAATTGATTCATCTCTGCGGCTATTTCTCCGACAAGCAGACTCGGGTGAACTTCAATGTCCATAAACGATCGTTCAGAGTCGATTCGGTATGGAGAAAGTTTTAGAGCCTGGTTCACTGCTGGCCTCGTGAAATTGGGCGTTCCTCGGGGAATCGGGACCCCTACGAGGATGCGCATCACACTTGACGGCATTTTGTGGGTCCGCCTCCTTCATTATCGAGCGATCATTCGAACGACGACAAGATTGAATAATTGTTCAGAATATGAGCGGGAGAGCACGGGTGAGAGGCGATTTTTATTTCAGTCCTTCAGCTCGAGCGGTCTGACACGATTTGTCCGCGAGCCTATTTGATGTTATCCGTCACTGTACACCAGGTCACTATGATGTTGCAAGACGGCCGGGGACCGCCGCCTGGGATCAATCTGGGATTGCGGGGTTTCGGGACTATTGGGGGCGGGAGACTTACGGGGGTACTCATGGTCTTCGTTTAGGGGCTGGGGGCGCCAGGAGTCGACTCCGCGTGATTCTTCTTCGCGTGGAATTGGAAACCGCGCTCTCACAAATCGAAATCACAGTTCGGATAGCCGAAGTCTCGATGGAATTGTACGAAACTCTGCAGCATATGCATGAGCAGTCCCCCTGGGCCTTGGAACTCCCTCACCTTCGCTCGGTACTCATCGATGATTCCGAGGACCTTGGCCAAGGATCCTCCCTGACCCAAATAAGCGAAAAGCGTCGGTCTCAACGAGTCTGCTTCATCGTCGAAACTATCAGGATCCAGAGTCACGTTCGTGATAAAGATTCGTAGTTGGATCATCGTCTGCTCTTCGAAAGTCCTTCGCTTTGCCCCCGGCTTCCTCCGTGCGAACAACCGAGCCCTCGGAAACAGCGGAAACCGCGGCCTGGGCTTTGGCAGAACGAAGACCGCAGCATGCGGCGAGAGCTCACACGAGCTGCTCGAAGTGTAACCTGATTCACTTCCGCTATCCATGCCAGGGAGGAGGGATCCGATGATTTCAAGTAAAGGAGAAGATGAGCGCAGTCACCGAAAATGATAGCTCATGGGCTTGACGAACGCTTCTTTTACCGAACGAGGGGTGCGAGGAGCTCTCTCTCCTCGACCCCTTCTCAATGGACCCCCTGATTTTGAATGAGTATCAGGGGCAAGTACGCTGGAATATTCGCCTGATCGCGGGGGCAGCACCAGAACGAGGTTCGAGTATACTCGCCGCGGCGCAGGCTCTCCCTTATCAATAAATTGGACTTTGGGTTGAATGCGAGTACGCCAGGCTTGAATGGGAGTTCATCGGAATCTTGAAAAATCTGAAAGATTCCTCAAGTCGATTGTCTCGCGCCAAGACCCCCCTACAGGAGTCTCGAGGAGCCCCCTCACTGCGTCGTTGAACGGCCTATTTCATTTTTGGCGGCATCTTGAGACTTCCCAAATGTCATCAGGTCAAAGGGGAGTCAAACCTGGTTGTCTAACATCTATATGAACTCATGGAACCCGAAAAAAGTTTCGACAAGAGTTTCGAGGAAATCCAGGAATCCCGGGACCAATCGGGTTCACCGCGTTTGCTCAACCGAAGAGAGTTCTGAGACGGAGGAGATTTCACCAAGAGAACTTTCGTATGCCACAAGAGGCTCGAGAAGTCATGAGTTCAACGCGCCCATTGCTCACCCAACTTAAGATATATCACATGTTAGGTCCACCGTTATCGGGAAATCAATTCCCATGGGATCATACCTATCAACGAATGGTTGCATCCATAAGAATATGGATGAGAAAGAAGTGACATTGAGGAAACTTTTTGGGTCCACAACTCAATATCCTAGTTCTGCGACTTCTTCATTGAGCAATGAATTGCGTGAGGATTGCGAGGCAAAGAATGTCGAAGTCAGCAGTGTCGGGAATCCAGCGCTCCACATGACCATAGGCCGCAGACCAGTTACGAGCTCGATACATCGGTATATTCGGCGCTGACGAAAATCGCTGCAAGAGATCGAATCCATCTCTCAAAAGTCAAAATCAGATAAAACTCAAATAAGACGAGCATCGAACTCCGGGACCGGAATGACAACTCTGCACTGCACGTACTATCAGTGCCCCTGTTCGGACCCGAGTGCAAAGCGGCGAATGACGTCCTCTCCGTCGAATCAGGGAAAGAGGGAACGCTCTTCTCCTTCCTGCCCCTGTCAAGAACACAGCGGCCTTCCGATACACGGAGGGAGTCGCCTATGGTACAGCTTCTCTCATGGCCGGACGGATCGGTGCTTTTCTGGGAATCAAACCAAAAAGAGCGAGTAGGCCAAAGACGCCCGCCGGCTCGACCGCGGACCGCATGTCGAACCAGGAGAGCCCAGGCTCGTGGGGAGTCTCCGTCTCCGCCGGGAACAGCCGCGTGTCGCTCGACTGGACGCCCCGGGGGAAAAACCGCCCGGTTTCCTCCCTGTGGGTCGTCGGGGGACCGCCGTCGCAAGGGTGCCCCTCATAAGCGCCGCGGGCAACTTCGCGACAGCGTCAGCGACAGAATCGAACAGGCAAGGATGCTCCTGCTGAACGAGATGCAGAGGCAGGCCGGAGCCATGGACCTGCGATTAATACTGAGGAACCGAGAACAGATGACCGCCCGGGAGACGATGTGACGCCGCAGTCGCTCAACACAGTCGATGAGCCGACGAGCTCATACGAGAGGCCGCCCACCCACGAGGTCCGGTCGCTCTAACGGGGAACAATTCTAAAAATCGCCCAATGGAACTGTGAGGGAACTTCCAATCTCTCGCTGCTCGATCCCGCAGTGTACAGGGAGTTCGAAATCCTGATCCTCACAGAAACATGGGCCACCGATGCCTTCGCACTACCAGGCTTCTACGCCATCCACTGTCTGGCCACGAAACCGACGTCAGGCGGCCAAGCGGCGGAGTGTCGGTGTTCTACAATCAACGAGTGGAAAACATGACACCACTGATGAAGGAGGAGAATATGCTCGTGCTGAAGGGTCCGAAAATGTATCTCATCGCGGCTTACGTGAGACCAGCCAGCATCGAATCCACGCTGGATCTGGTCGACAAGATCTCCCGTGGCCAACGCGCCACCGATCTTACGCAGCACATCATCTTGGCCGGGGATTTGAACGCTCGACTAGGGCTCAAGAACTCAACCTGTCGAAAGGAATGATGCCTGCCGAATTTGAGCGCGGAGGGACCTTTCAACTCGGAGCACAAGTTAGACGCACAAAATTGAGAACTCGATCGTTCGTGATGCGACTTGCATCTCCCGAGAGTCATCCCAGCAGCCCTCATCCAAGGTATGAGTTTTTCAACGAAATGCCTGGCATCCTCAGTGGAGTCGAAACCTCGCAACATGTCGTCGAAGTAGAATGAGTTGCCGAGGTCGAATTTCGACTCAGGATCAATCCGTCCGAAGTGCTCTCAGAAAACAGCAGAAAACCGCTGGGCGTCGCTCCCCATACGACTTTCCGCATTTGGGAACATCGAACCTCTTTATCCTGAGGTCCCTGCCAAGGATATCGGAAATACGGTCTGTCCTGCTCGACGAGGTTGATGGTCGTATACGCTTGGGCAACATCAGCAGACAATGCGACTGGACGCAGACGGAAGTTGAGCATCAGCTTGAGTATATCCGGGTTTAGGTTCAGACCGGTTCAGATGTGAGTTGAGCGATGTCTCTCCGGGCGCAGCTGCTGAACCATCGAAGACGATTCGCAATTTGTCTCCGTGGGCGCGTTGTGCTATGACTTGACGATGCGGTAGATAGTAGGAACGGTCACGTGCGCTTGGAGCACCGAGATTGTCGACGTGGACTTCTTCGGCGTGGCCCACCATGAGGAATTTCGATCTCTCCGCATCATAACGTCGGAAGGACTCCTGGTTTCGAGAAAGGCTGCGCCGCTCAGCAATCAAACGATTGCGAGCTATCTCCAAGTTGTTCGAGACCTGGAGGATTGACGGTCGCTTCGGCATGGCGACGGTGTAGCGCTGACCATCATACTCGACGCTGTCTTTGATTTGTTGCATGGCGTCGACTTCAGCCGCGCGGTATTTCTTCTCATTCGAATCGACTATACCGACGGCATCTAGGGACCACAGACATTGTATATCCTTGGCGGTCTGCGTGAGGTTCGCTGGACAGCAGATGGGATGAACGCGGACAACTTCCCCACGTGTGTTCTTGGGTCCTTATGCACCGGACAGGATGGCGAGATTTCCTCCGAGTTCAGATGCAGAATCTTATACATCTGATCGACGCCGATCAGCAGGTCAGGCTCCATGTCGAACTCTGGGTCGATCAAAGAAGCGTCGGCAAGCTGGTGAGTTTTACCGAATTGACGGATGAGCTCGCGCATCTCCTGCGAACAGTTTGCGGGCGGGTCGACGCCGAAGGCGTATTCATGAGCCTGGATGACAACTTTCTGTGAATCGTCGTGATTTCCGACCAATTGGACTGCGTAACGGTTTGCGACGAGTGCGTGTTCACTGGCGAAGGCTTGAAGCTGTAAATCAACCCGCGCCTGGGGCCGCATGTCCGATAGCTGCCCGATGAGCCTCGGTGATACGAAGGAAACCATCGACTCGCTGTCAATGAAGCATCGGACTCGGATTCGGTGCGCGCCGTGGACGACGAATGCAGAGGCCGTCATGACGATTGAGCGGATGGTCGAAATGGCTGCGACACTTTGCAGGGTGCACGCGGCAGTGCGCGCGGTTTCTTCGGATGAAATCGGTCCCAGGCTGTGCATGACGGTATAATGATCTTTACTCCCACACTTATGGCAGGCTTCCTTCGGGCCGTCACACTGGCGCGGTGATACGTGTTCAAATTGGAAGCATTTCGGGCAACGCTTCTTCTGATTAAGTATCTCGACGCGGCGATGACCCGGAAGGTCCGCTGAGCAAACCGAGGGACGATGCTCGGAGCTACCGCAGAATAAGCAGGGGTTCTTCCGAACCTTTAGCTGCCTCCGAGATCCCTTGCTTGCGGTCGCAACGGCTGTAGACGGGAATTGTTGACGGGGCGGAAATCTGGGGGCTTCGCGCGTCTTAGGTCGCTTCTGATCGTGAAAACCCAATCTGTTGACGTCTCCCACATTATTCCGTTGCTTGGTTGAAGCTCTCTCCCGGGGCGAAGTGGAACGGCGGAGGAATGAGAGCAATCGCTCCAGACTTCCAGCCGCTGCGGCAGCCTGATCCTGCTGCTCGGTCTCCCCTGAGTCGGCATCGAGCTGCTGACGATCGTCGAACGTTAAGATCAATGAGATTGGGAGTGCGCTTCGAACTGTTTGTTCGTAGGTGAGGGCGATCGTATGCAAGGGTACATTGACAGTCGCCAGCGCTAGGATAGGAACGAAATTTGACAACTCACGCAAGCCAACCGTATCATACGCATGACGAACACTTGGTAGGTTGACTACGTGGGCGAGTACATCCTGCTGTCGGCGATCCGGAACGTCGTAATTCTCATCGAGTAGTCGGAGAGCTATCTCGTAGTTGCTGTCGGTCAGCGGTAAGTCACAGATGAGATCTTTCGGAGGGCCTCTTAAGAGTTTGCACATAGCGACCAACTTGTCGCAACCTGTGACCTCGCTTCGGCTTCGGACGTAATTTAGGAATTGAGACTTCCATAGCTCGTATCGGGCGATGCTCCCTTCGAAAACCTCGGGGGCAGTGTCTAAGAATAGTCTGGAGTTCGCGCGCTTGTTCGCCGTATTCGAGCCATTGTTGACATTTTCTCGAGTTGATGTTGATGTGAGGCCGCCGTCCGTTCGCCCAGACGATAGCGGTCCGCTGACGACGACGCCACCGGTCGCGGCGGCTACCGGCGAAGGGGTTTGACTACCGACGGCGGCAGTCGACCCGCTCGATGAGCCGGACAATCTCGACTCGACGCCGCACAGTGGTCAAAAATTGATATTTAGGTCTTGATAGGTATGGATCCATGTGGGGCAATGAGTACGGAAGCGTTTCGACTTAATACGAACCATGGATTTCTCTCTGGCTTTCGAAAAAGGGCCAAAAGTTTTAGGGCCGCATTTGGACACTGTACCCAGATGTACCCAGTATGATTTTTTTTTAAATTGCTCGTAAAGACCTCAGCTCTCACGAGGTGATAACCGATTTTTGCGCTTTTTTGCGCTAAGGGCCTTATTTCCCGGAAAACCACGGAAATGCCGTAAATGGGCGAGATATCGCTCGAAACGTGATCCCCAGATTCTGTATTGAGATTATCGTACCCGTGGATATTTGTTCCTCCAGAGAGCATCACTCTGAGTCGCCCATCGGAGACGCTCCTCTGATTGAGGACATCTGTGGTCGCATATCGAGATCGGGCAGCATCCAGCGCGATGGGCGACAGCGGGAGACCGCTCTCAAAATCGCCGCGTGCCGCGCTAAACTACCCTTGGCTGCCTCGCGGCTTCTTCCAATGAACACTAAAGGGATTGATTGCGCATGATCGGAGCTGAGAGATCACACAAGGTAGACGATTTACACGACTTCAGAGCCCAACTTAGCCGACAGATCAATCGATCGATGGAAAAGTTCCAGAAATGTCAGCGGAAGAAGGAAAAATTCTACCACCATTGCGCGGGCTGGTTCCAAAAAGGGCCCTTCCGATTCAGCGTCAAGCTGAGAGTACAAGCTAAGCCATGTACATCGGCATCAACATCCATGCGAGGGGCTGGTCGACCAGAGAAAAATTTCTGCGATTTACCCGTAAAGTCGAAGACACGTAGAGTTCAACCTCTACTACAGCACGGCACAGGAGAGCTATTGTACGCGGGCCATCTCTCCTTACACTTTTCCGGTGATCGGCAGGGCTCCAAAACGGTGAAAGCTCTGTCAGATCGACCATCCTCAGCCGCATCCTCAGCGTCCTCCATCTCAGCGCTGAGGAGCGGGAGACCCATGAGGGATGCGACCCGTAGTGTTGTCTAGACTAGTGGAATGCTCTCGATAAGCAAGTTCCAACGAATATAATGTAGCTCGTTTAATTCGAAGAGTGTCTCATTATTGACCCCGTTGGGCCTCGAACTTCGTTTCTAGGGCCAAGATGACGACCAGAAACTCTCTCGGACTCATTTCCGAACTCAAATGATCCGAGTCAGTCGAAAAAAGCGTTCAAATAATTTTGTCCACCTAAAAATCGATTTTTGACCACTGTGCGCCGCTCTCTATCGATTGGAGCTCCATTAGAGCATCGACGAGTGCCGTCGCCGACAAACAGGCCTCGACTGCAACCTCAGCCTCTTCGGCTTCCCGCTCAGCATCGCTGGCCGGGAGCGATTTATGGCTGCGGATCTGATCCACGACTGCTCGGATTATTTCAACGCGGCTGTGGATTCTGGATTTAGCGCCGAGAAATTCGAGGCGATTCGAATCCGTAATTCAATCGATGTCCTTGATCGCCCGAATCTCTTCCAAGAGCGCATTCTTGGCTCGAGTTCTTCGGCCGCGAAGGACAGACAGGCTCGGGGCGAGATCCTGAGCGGGCTCTTGAGGCACGCGATCTGCCCCAACGTGCCGCAGCAAGCGGTCGTCTTGGTCCGGCGAATTTCCCACAGGCCACAGGCATTCGGATGTTCGAAACGGGTTTATCCCGGTCACGGCACGAATGTCGAAAGGAATGATGCCTGCCGAATTTGAGCGCGGAGGGACCTTTTGACTCGGAGCACAAGTTAGACGCACAAAATTGAGAACTCGATCGTTCGTTATGCGACTTGCATTTAGCGCGACTTTCACTCGCAATGCTCTTTCTTCCGTTTTGAACCTTGTGCCGTGTTTTTTCGCCTCCTCTTTCTCGTTGCTTTTCCGGTTTGAGTTCCCGTTCGTTTGTTCTCCTGCGTTTCCTCATCCCGTCATTCTCCTGCTCCTCGTCCCATACGTAATGAGGAATGAGGATATAGATATGATGAAAATCATGATTTAATGACTGCTCGAGTCGCCCTCCCAGACCAAACAAAACGACAAACGACGATGTTCGTTCGAAATGCGGAAAAGCTTAGTATCAATTTCATCTTTCTTTCTTGGCGGTTTTGAGTATGCCTATGTCCGTCTCCTCGATGTAACTCTCAGACTGCGCAAGTTTCCAGACAATCGGTCCAGCGGTCTTGAGACGCGCATCGAGGAGAAACAAAGCCACAAACACTTTACTTTATATATTAGATGTGCATGTGATGTCTCTCCAAAAGAGAGTGAGATCGTTTACAAGTACACAAAGGCGGGAATCATGAGTAGGAGAATTTTACACAATAATTGTTGGAGGATGGGAAATTATTGACACAACCCGCACCATGGCTCTCCGAGAGACGCTGTTCGATTTCGGGTGTTGGATCGTGAACACATCACAACCGACCTTCTCGAATAACAGTGGCAGCTCGGTAATTGACTTATTCGCCACGAATATGAGACCTGAGAACATACGCATCCTGGGCACCGACCACTCACTGCGTGGAGGATCATGTCTGAGCTCCCACCACCCGGTCGGCATGAAGGTCGTGATCGCTCCCAACGAGGATCTACGGCCGAAACGTTCACCCCACCTCTTTACATCGATCTGAAGACACAGCTGCAGAAAGCTCATGAGGTTCTTCCAGTTCCTCAGTCATTCGATCTCGATGACTACGACAACCTCCTCGTCGATATTTGACGACCAAGTGCTCTGAAGCTGCCCCGAAGGCCCGGCCGTCCATGGTTCAACCCTGACTGCCGCCGAGCGAAGAGGGCCCAGCTGATCGCCGCAACGCTGGCCGAGCAGTTTCCGGCCCTTGGGGTCCTTGCTTCCTCGCTCAGGGCGCGTTGTAGGTCCATCTACAGAGAGCAGGAATGCCGAAAGAGCGGAGCTGCGTTTGCGCCTGGAAGCCGAGGCTCAGCCTTACAAAGGGCTCCCGCGGCCCGCCTTTACAGCATGTCCAGTCGGGAAGACTGCGCTAGTGGCGCACTTCAGGCAAATGTTGGCGTCCCGTGATTCAACGCCCGCAGCCGTCCCCTGATCAGCGGCGTATGGAGCGAACCGGCATGCGTCGAACGGGTGCTGATAGACAGCGACTTCACGATAGAGGAGGTTCTGTACGGCATGATGAGCAGCAGGTCGAATGAATTCCCGGGCCCGGACGACATGAGAAACGAGTACTTCGACTGCGCCCCCTTCCCGGCTCCGTGCTGGGCGGCGGTCTCCAACCAATGTCTAGACACGGGGCTGATCCCGAAAGCATGGAAGGAAGCACTACTCGCAATCATTCCCAAAGGGAAGGGAAACCCCCTGGATCCTAATTCGTGGAGAGGGATCGCTAAGAAGAGCTCCTGTTACAAGTTGTCCACCCGACTGATCACTTGCTGCCTCAGTGACTTCCTCGAGAACCTCGAGATCATCACTCCGGAACAGCATGGCTTTCGGCGCGTTCATTCGACGGCCGTAGCTTGCAAAATCCTATTTGATGATGTCAGAGAAACGCTCCAGACTCCACGAAGATACATTCAGGAACGCTGCATTCATCGACTACCGCGCCGCGTTCGACACCGCACCGCGTACTCTGGTCCTGAGGATGTTGGCCGAGGTCGGCGTCCCTCAGAGACTCCGGAGGGTCCTCGCGGCAATGCTCCAGGCGGACAGAATCACAGTCGACGATGGAGTTGCGGAACACGGGCCCTCCGAACAGACGACCGGATTGGCCCAGGGAGACGCCCTTAGCCCCTTACTCTTCTCTCTGCTGCTGAAGGACCTACCAAGAGTGGTGATGGGCGTCAGCGGCCAAGTCAAAGTGTTACTGTACGCAGACGACGTCGTGGTCTTCGGAGGAAACCGAGTACACGTACGAAAAGTACTCGCTAGACTTCACCACCTGTCATCAGAATTGGGCCTCTCAATCAACGAGACAAAGTCTGAGATGGTCAAATTTCGTCGCGGAGGCGGCGAGGCTGCGGATGACTCGGTACATATCTACGGGAGGTACCTGAAGACGTGAACAGCTTCCAATACCTGGGAATCACGATAACATTCTCCGGGAGGAGCTTCACGAAACACATCCTCGAGAGATGCAGGAAAGCGACGATCGCCGCGAACCCGATCCATAAACCTCAGCTCCGCTCCTTGGACACAGCCCTGCGCCTTTTCGACATAAAGATAGCCCCGATCGCGTCATACAATATCGAGCTAGTCTGGGAGTTCCTGACAGTGAGCAACCTGGAGACACTGAATCGGGTAAAGACATCTTTCTTTAAGAGGGCACTCGGCCTCCACTCCGGCGCACGAAGTCGCCTCGTATGATGACAGGCGCCCCGTTGTTCGTGGAGGACTTATTAGTGCGACGCTTCTCGAGGCCACGGACGAACGAGTACGAGGAGTGTCTACAGAGGTGGGAGACCAAACTGGTCGACGTCGATCCAAGTTTTTCCAGGCGGGAGTCATGACCACAGACGCATGGAAGACAGCTAGACGCACAAACCGCCATCTAATCACCCGCATCGCCGTCCTAGGTTTCCACTTCAAGGTGTGCAGAAAGACAGACCTCCACGAGCCTTCGGAGGACTGTGAGTGCAGACTCTGCTCCGAGACCTG